AATAACTAGAGAAGGGTTTTGGGGCCCGTTATACTATAATCACAATAAGGAACCCCGAAATCGTATAGGTAATTAGTGAGGCCCCTTTGTTAGTAGAGGCTACATCTATTTAAGGCCCCAAATTTTGTAGAAGCTACACCAGACTTCGCGGGTTCACGAGCCACAGGCTAAACGTTTCCACAGACTCGAGTTCATGGCGAGATTAGTAGCATCGGCGAGTGCATGATGAATTTCTTAGTTGTCCATCAAGTTCATAGTCATTGACCACGCACATAACCCCAAGGGTCCAGGTACAAAATAATCATATACTCTCCGAAATCCTAACCTACATAACTACAATCCTCAAACCGAGTACCTAAATATTGGGTCCTTTGGACCCTTAGGGTAATCCCCACAATCATGTCTTTCTGATCGACCATCACAAACACCATCACCACCACCACCAACTCCACGGCTCCCACCGTTTTGACCCTCAACTAGCAGAGGGTTAGGCAACCGACGGCGCTACGTCCCCATTCCAAAACCTGGGGTCTGGAGATTACGTGCTCTCCTTACCTTTTCAGAAGGATCACACGTCATGCAGACCGCTCGTTCATAAACCCACTTCTTCAAGGGCCTTGTGCACATCATTGAAGGTTCGCAAAATCTCATACAGGTCTGTACAGAAAGACGCACAACATCGTCTAAGGGTCTACGACGACGCAGCCCTAACAATCAACACCGGACTCGTAGTCTTGAGAAGCTAGGGTACAGCCCATAAAACCTGAACCCTCGGAACCACGCAAACCCTTCACGAACTCTCAGGCCCCAAAACCCGAAGCCCTAAACCCTGAACCCCTGACAATCAAAGGAACCCCTATAGATCCCATACAGGAACCCCATGAAGCCCCCATGAGGCCTAAACCCTAAACCCCTAAACCCTGAACCCCTAAACCCTACATCTTTGGCAGAGAGAAGCCTGACCCTTGTAGATGCCGTAGAGCTCTACCTTGGCTGGGCTGCAGCCGAAGTGTGCCTCTACAAAAGAGACCCTTGAAAGGGTTTAGGGTTTAGGGGTTCCTCTACTAGAAAAGAGTTCCTTCAAATGGGTTTTACAAGGAGTTACTGACAAGCATTCCTTTTTAGAGGGGCTTCTTCTAAACTTAGGGCTCCCATACTTTAAGGGTCCCTCTACTACAAAAGGGTTCGTTTAAATGGGTTCGACAAGGAGCTGCTGCAAGCGAAACTTCAGTAGAAGGGTCCCTCGATGGGGTGATGTTTAGTCAGGCGACGGATGAAGATCGGATGTTTCAGGGTTTACCATGACATACTGCAAGCGACAGCTTGGCCCTCTGGGTTTCTTGGGGTTGCAGCAGGATGGTTTAGGGTTTAGGGTTAAGTTGAAGCCACACTAGAACAAGTAGGTTCTAGAAGTGTTACCGCAACAGCTTTGGGGGCGACGATTGAAGAGTAGGGTTACATCTCGTCGCATCGAACGGTTAAAGGTTCAGGGTAAGGCGAATAACCAAGAGGCAGGAGAGTGGTCAGGTCTTCCTCCTCTCGGTAGAAACCCTTTCTTGGGACAGAAACAGAATCCGCTCAAACGCTTCCGAAGCAGTGGGAGCCGCGTAGCTCTTCGCAGCCATACAGAGTCCACAGACAGACGGTCTGAAACACCTATACCATAGGCTGAAACCTCATAAATTGCTTTGCGAAATGTACACAACATCAGCATCTCCATCAAAAACTGCCAACACATCGAAGCACCATTTAACCCTGCGGATCCATGTACCCAAAATAGTATGTATACTTTGGCCTTAAACTAGTTGTTTTATAGGTACTTTGGGGTTAAAGTCTATACTGTTTGGGCACATGGACCCTGAAGCTCATTCAAAAAGCAGCCTTAAACCCAGAAGGTCCGATCCTTCCTGGAAGGGCTCCTTGCCGCTTGGAGGCGGGTCCTCCGAAAACCTTCTTCTTCACCTCCTTCTCCTGCCGCCGCTTTTGTTTGGGACAGGGACTGACGAGGTTTCAAGGTTCAAGGTTTAGGATTACAAACACTCTGGTCGTGACTGTCTCTGGGTGGAAAACCGGCATTGAAGCTTCTGACTCCGAGAACCTTAAACACTGAAAACCAAAAACCTTAAAACCCTGAACCCTAAACCTTAACCTCTATAAGTGTAGACCGTAAACCCTAAACTCTAAACCTTAACCTCTATAAGCTAAACCCTAGACTCTAAACCTTAACCTCTATAGAGCTAGAGGAAGTAGCAGGGGTTCGCAAGGTCAAGTCTTCGCCGAGGCCTTGCATGACTCCTGCTCCGACAGAGTTGTCAGGGTTTGGGGCTTTAGGGTTTAGGGTTTAGAGTTTAGGGTTTAGGGCTAACCCCAACCCAAACCTGGTTGGAAGCAATCGCTTCAATGCCTCAAGAAGCAGATTAAGGCTTAGAGGGTGGAGGAGCCTACAGTAGGGTTTAGGGCCTTAGGGTGTCGGTGTAAAATCTCGTACAAACTTCTCCTCTACCTATACAGGCTACGTGTGCGGACCCAAAAACTCATAAAAGCCTGAGGATCTTGTATTTCGGTGAAGAGGGAGACCCATGATCAAAAAGTGTACGATAGTAACCCCCTGGGCTTAAAATAGTACCACAATTAGCATGACTTCACAGAAGAGCCCAGATACCACGGATTCCGGGAACCCGAAAGCCTAAGATCCTCATGCTCTTCTGCTCATGTGGCCTGCCTTTTGTTTGTGGGTTTAGGGTTTAGGGTTTAGGGTTTAGGGTTTAGGGTTTGGGAGGAAGGGCTTCGGGTTCTCGGCTGGTAGGGCACTTACGATGCTGAAGGTCCTTGTCGGTCAACAGCTAAGCCGTACCAAAAGGCAGCCTAAACCCCTACACCACCCTGCACCCCTACCCCCAAAACCCCGAACGCCAAAACCCCTAAGCCAAACTAAGCCTTTGTAGATCCCTTTATGGAATCCCCAGAGGGCGCAACCCTATATTTCTCAAAAAGGGCCCCATAAAAAAATCTAAACTGAAAACCCTAAATCCTCAACTCTGGACTCTAAACCCTAAACCCTCAACCCTAAACTCTAACCTTAAACCCTAGGGTTTAGGGTTTAAGGTTCAGACCCAAAACTGAAACTGAAGCACTGCTTTGGATCCTTGGGCTTCGCCTCCCTTTGCCGGCTGCGGCTTCTGCGCCTCTTCATTGAAGCAGGGTTTAGGAAGGGGTTGAGGGTTTAGGGTTTGGGGTTTCAGGGTTTGGGGTTTTGGAATTAGGGTTTAGGGCGTAGGGTTATTCGGGTACAGGGTTCAGGGTTTAGGATACAGGGCTTAGGATTTAGGATACAGGGTTTAGGTTTTGGCGATTAGGGCGTAGACTTGAGAATGTACAGTTCGGGGCTTTGGGCTTTGCTGCTTTCAGTTGGTAATGGGAAGTCTTCTGATGAAAGCAGCTCCCTACCTAGCAAAGATGCATATGGCTCTGTGGCTTTATAAAGTTTGACGCCCACGGATTCATATTGTAACAAACATGCGAATCAAATCTAAAGAAAACCCAGGGTGGGGTAGTCTGCAATAGGAGCCACTCGCTTTCGCGGCTCGGGATGCGGAGGTCGGTCCATTGGTCGTGAAAATCCGAAACCGACACCCAAGATCCGAAATTGAAATCCCTGAACCCCAGCACGGTGATGAACGCTGAACCCGGCCTGAACCCTAAGCCCACACCCTAAATCATAAACCCTAAGCCTGCGTCCTGAACCCTAAATGCCTATCTCCCGATGAGCTCAAAACCCAACAAACCAGGAACCGGGGACCCCCCAAAGCCGAGCCCGCCTCTCCACCTGAGGTGCTTTGGCAATCTCCTGTGTGCAAGACGACACGGTTTGGGGTGTAGGTTTAAGGTTTCGATATCAAAAAGGCGCTTGATGCTGAGAAGGCGGTACAAGTTTGTGAGGGCTTAAGGATTTTTGGGCTTATGAAGGCTTAGGAATGCTTAGGATGATAAGCGTTTAGGATGCAGGTGTTAGGACGGTGGAGGGCTAGGATTCTATAAGATGATTCAGCGCATGAGGGCTAATAGCTCACCGGATGGGCTAAGCCTTTTGATTATGAGAAGGTGGTACGGGTTTATGAGGGCTTGGGGCTTTTGGGGCTATGAGGCCTTAGGATGATGAGCGCTTAGGATGTAGGAGGGTGGAGGGCTAGGATTCTGTAATGTAAATTCAGCGCATCAGGGAAAATAGCTCACCGGATGGGCCTTAACAGCTAGAATTGGGCTTTTTGAGGTTCCCTACTACACGCATAGTAGAAGATACCCCACAACCCTGTTCCAGTCTCTAAGGCCCCTACATTATACAGAGGCTTGTTTTGACTTTGCTTAAAGGCTCATGGGACTTAGTAAGGGAGCCCTATCATAGAACCCTAGAGCACCCTTAAAAGGAACCCTAAACCTTACTTAGTCCCATGATCTTTAAGCAACAGGCTCATCAAGCCATGCCGCGGCACCTCGGAAACCCAACATGAAGACTTCAGTCGATCCCTGGAGGCCCCTGCAGCCTAAAGAACCCAGAGACAATATCCCTTAATTAAGGAATATACCTTAAATCGTATTAATTAGGGATCGTACTATAATTTAAGGAATATTCCTTGATTAAGGGATATTGGAGTCTCTGGGAACCCTCACATGTTTCAATCAGAGCTCATGGTTCGAGAACTGCCACTTCTGGGCAGTTTCCTTGCAGCTGCGCGACATGTAGGTATCGATGTCCCCGCTGCTCAGGGCAAAGAGAAAGCTTACCTCCTCCGCCGCGACATCGTCTGCGACGGTGTGAGCACGACATCTCAAACATCGCCCGCCGCATCTGCGCTGCAAGTTGATCTGCTGTCATAATTTGGCTCTGCTACAATGACCCAGTGTAGTACTACCACCTACCTACATACAGTCAGACAAGCGGACAGGCATGCAGGCATGCTTCTACACTCATTTATACCCAAAACTCTAGAGCACTGCACTTTCTAATCATCCATCGTATCCTGGATGTCTACACTGTATCCGACGCTGCCAGACACTGCTCTGGACATCCACAGACCGGCTTCCTTCTCGAGTTCCTGGCTGCTGCTCTGAACCTGTTCCAACCGACGAAGGAGAAACTCCACGCGAGACGACTCCAGGTAGCTCACCATCCTAGGTCTTGCTTTCAACAACCCTCTAAGTCATTCATCACCAAAAACTATGGAAACCCATCAACAAACATCAAATCAACAAACATCCCGAACTGTCGCCTTGCATCTCTTCCTTCGAAGAAAACGACACCGTCTCTCGCTTTCCATGGCTATAGAACTTGAGGCTCTCCGAACTCCCATCGAATTTCCATGAGTCCCCATCCTCGAAGACGATTTTGTCCGAGAGCACCTCGAAGCCTTGGCGGCCGGAGATCGGATCGTACATGCCCCCACGTAGACGTAAGATGAGGTGTAAGGTGTCTTCCTTTTGGATGCCGTAGTCCGATAAAGTGCGTCCGTCTTCTAGCTGCATGCCAGCGAAAATCAAACGCTGCTGGTCGGGAGGGATGCCCTCTTTGTCTTGAATCTTTGCTCTCAAGTTGTCGATGGTGTCGTTCATTTCTACGCCCAAGGTCAACGTCTTGCCCGTGAGAGTCTGCACGAATAACTGCATGCAGTCGATCTTGCCATGCCCGCACTCGAGCACGGAGCCTTGTGAGATGCCGATCGCTGGACGAGGCACAGTTACTTTCTTCAAACGCACGACGAGGTGCACAGTGGACTCTTCCTGAAGGCCGTAAACTGACAAACTCCGGTCGTCCTCAAGCTGCTTCCCGGCGAAAATCAAGCGCTGCTGATCGGGAGGGATGCCTTCCTGGTCCTGAATCTGTGCTTTAAGATCGGCCACGGTGTCACTTCCTTCTACATCCAAGGTCAGCGTTTTGCCCGTGAGTCTCTTCACGAAGATTTGATACCTTCCGGGCATGCAATAGGGCTTGCATTCGAGCTTGGTGCTTTCTGAGATCCCGAGTGATGAAAGAGTCCCCTCCTTCGGCAAGTCTTGGCCGTCCTCTGGCTTCGTATTACGGAAACTATCTCAAGTTTCTGCACTCTGGGCAGGAAAGCATAAAGGACTTACTGTTTATGTCCACTCAGCATTCTGGCGACAACCCACCCGGGCTGCAAAATCTGTCAATCAAGTGGTATACCCTAAACCCGAAGGTCTTGCCTACAATTCCACAGGTATATTGCTCAAATTATGAGATTTTGGAGTCTTTGGTCAGTCCTTGGTGATGCTGAGCCGTCTCGAGCCAACTTCAAGGCCACTTGCAACCCGCTCGATAACGGCCGAGACTGTGTCGAAGGGTGTGGCCTCCACGGTGATTTCTCTGACTTCGCGTCTTTCTTCTGAGATAGCAACAACCAGGTTGAATGTCATAAGGCCCTTCGCTGTCTCAAGCAAGTTTTGCTGCTGAAGCTGGATGGCCTCAAACTGTTGGATCATTTGGAGCAGCGATTTTTCCTTAGTGCAGAACGGCTTGTTCTGGAGGGAACACCGCAGTGCCTCAATGTCCAAAACCATGGCCATAACTGAAGGGGGGGGGTCAACGTCCACGCCTACACAGTGTTGCTGCAAGCCTGGCGAAAACGCAGGTATGGGGTTTCGGGTTTAGGGTTTAGGGGTCTGATCTGCTGCTGGAATTTGCTCTCAGAGGGTTCGTGATTAGTGGCTGTGAGGGCTGAAGGCGGTTCGGGTTTAAGTGCGCAGTTGGGGTACAGGCTCTTCCAGATTTTATGAGAATCATTGTTTAGCTCACCCGGGTTGGAGGATTCATCGGGGATTGGGCTTCTAGAGTTGAATGATCATCCAGCCATGCAAATCAGAGGAAGCCGATAAAGGATTTCAAACAACCCCAAACACGCTAAACCAAGGGTAAAAGGAGTGACCCTTAAAACGGACCCCTAGGTATATCACCTTAATATAGCTATTATATAACCATTATATAGCCCGTTATAGGCTGGGGGTCCCCATAAGGGTCCCTCCTTTTGCCCTTTGAGCTAAACCCTGAACCCTGAGACCTCCTCCTAAAGTCCCTCAGCCCTCATAAACCCTTGCAATCTCATCATGAGTACTACTACGTACAAAGCCCATGCCCAGAGAGCCCAATACCCCTGAATTCAGGAATATAGCTTAAATCATAATATGTAGCCCCCTTCTAATTCGAGGTATATTTCTTAATTAAGGGGTGTTGGGCTCTCTGGGTGAGTACTACTACAAAACTCTGACTCTGAACCGTAAGCCAGCTTATGGTTCGGGACTCAAGAGTTTGCGGATTTGGACAGTTTAGAGTCTTGGGCCTAGGGGTTTGGGGTTTAGGGTTTGGGTTCAGGCACCCCAGCCGTGAAACCTTAGCCTAAGTGCTGACACCATGCATACACAAGCCGACGATCCAAAAAAGTAACAATAGACCCCAAACCCTGAACCCCAAGGATCTATTCCTATTTGCCCTAAACCCCTAGTTATCAGGGCTGCCGGATTTGGGCTTCAGGGATAAGGGTTCAGAGCTTAGGGTTGAGGTTAGGGTTAGGATTAAGGGTTTAGGGTTTAGGGTTTAGGGCAGGATGGAGTTTCTGTCTCAGCCTCACCATGCCGGGCACCTAGCTCCGTAGCTCACTCCGAGGTGTGCTGCGTTGAAAAATTCGATGGATATGGAACAAAACCCAAGCCCTAATGAAATCCTAGACCTCAAACCCGAAAGCGACTAGCCCTGGTCGGTTTATGCAGGGTTTAGGGTTTAGGGATTTGTGACCCGGTTCCGTTCCAATCGACTCGAAATGGTGAAAAGGATGTCCAGAACTCCGACCTACACAAAAAGGAGGGGGTCTAATGACTTCAGTAGGGTTCCGTCAAGGGCTCCCTTTACAGGGGTCTATACGGGTTACGATGAGGGTTACGATAATGGTTTCGTATGGGGGCCTTAAAAGCTGGAACAGGTTTGCGGCGTATTTTGAAACAGAACTTTGTTCAAGGCATGACTGAAAGGGGGTATCAGCACAGTTATTCCGACCCCCTTACTATTGCTGCACCATGTCGGCAACCCTAACATGGAGATCTGAATCAGCCCACAATCTCCTGCGCCTTTTGCACTCTCACCCACATCTTTCAATCAAGAGATGCCACTTCTGGGCAGTTTCCTTGTAGCTATCCGACATACGGTGTCGATATCCCCAGTGCTTGAGGCTAGAGAAAGCTCACATCCTTTGAGGTGACATCGTCTGGTAGGGTGTGATCACGGCATCTCTAGCCTCTCCCGGTGCATCCGCTGTGCAATCTGGTCTGGTGTCATGGCTTGGCTCTGCTACAGTGAGCATATATAGTACTACCATGATTACTGGTGTCATGGTGCATAAAAATATAACTGTGTATGTATATAAATATATACATATATATATATATATATATTTATAGAGAGAGAGAGAGAGAGAGAGAGAGAGAGAGAGACCAATCGATCGATCTATCGGTCGAGGTATCTATCTATCTATCCGTCTATCTATCTATCTATCTATCTATCTGTCTATCTATCTAGCTGTCTATCTATCAGAATGAGTACCTAGATGCATATATACATACATACATGCATACATACATAGGTACATGCATACATACATACGCTTACACACATATGTGTGTACTCTACAGCACTGCACTCTCTAATCCGTTGTATCCTGGATGTCTACACTGCGCGAAACACTGCTAGATGCGGCTCTGGACATCCAGAGACCGGCTTCCTTCTCGATGTCCTGGCTGCTGCTCCTTACTTGTCCAGTACCCTAGGGGATCTAAATGTTAAGCTGTGGGAACTAATACAATTATACAGGGGTTATAGTACTCCCAAAAAGTTAAAGGTGGATATAGTACTCCCGAAAAGGTTAAAGGATACTTACTCTACTACTAAGGCTCTGAACCCGTTCCAACCGACGAAGCAGGAACTCCACGCGAGATGACTCCATGTGGCTCACCATCCTAAGTCTTGCTTTCATCAAACCTTTAAGTCATTCATCACTAGGGAACTATGGAACTCTTCCGCAGAAGTCCAAACAAAAAACCGTCCCAAGCTGGTACCTAGCAGCTCTTCTCTAGAAGAGAACGACACGGTCTTACCTTGGCTGTAGATCGTCAGGCTCTCCGGACTCCCATCGAATTTCCAGGATTCCCCATCCTCAAAGACGATTTTGTCCGAGAGCACCTCGAAGCCTTGGCGGCCGGAGATCGGATCGTACATGCCCCCACGCAGACGTAAGACGAGGTGTAGAGTGGCCTCTTCTTTGATGTTGTAATATGACAGGGTCCGTCCGTCGTCTAGCTGTTTCCCAGCGAAAATCAAGCGCTGCTGATCGGGAGGGATACCTTCGCGGTCCTGAATCTTTGCTTTCACGTCATCGATGGTGCCGCTTCTTCCTACCTCCAAGGGCAGCGTTATTCCCGTGAGCGTCTTCACATACACAAGGTAGCATCCGGGCCTGCAGCGCGGACGCCAGACGAGGTGCACGGTGCACTCTTTCTGAATGCCGTAAGCTGACAAACTCCGTTCGTCTTCTAGCTGCCTCCCAGCGAAAATCAAGCGCTGCTGATCGGGAGGGATGCCTTCGCGGTCCTGAATCTGTGCTTTGAAATCGGCCACGGTGTCGCTTCCTGCTGCGTCGAAAATCACCCTTTTGCCGGTGAGTGTCTTCAAGAAGATTTCATATCTTCCGGGCATGCAGTGGGGCTTGCACTCGAGCCTGGAGCTTTCTGAGATGCCGAGTGTTGAAAGGATCCCCGACTTCGGCAAGTCTTGGCCGTCCTCTGGCTGCTTGTTACGGAAGCTATCTCAAGTTGCCTCAATCTAGGAAAGCATATGGTCTTACTGTCTATGTCTATCCAGCATTCTCGGAATACCCCACACAAGCTCTCAAATTCCTTCATTGAAGATTATACCCTAAATCTTAACAGGGGTCCCGGAATACTCTAAAGTATATGTCTAATTAAACTTAAGGGTTTTGGAGTCTCTGGTCAGTCCTTGGTGATGCTGAGCCGTCTCGAGCCAACTTCAAGACCACTTGCAACCCGCTCGATAACGGCCGAGACTGTGTCGAAGGGCGTGGCCTCCACGGTGATTTCTCTGACTTCGCGTCTTTCTTCTGAGAAAGCAACCTTGAGTTTGAATGTCATAAGGCCTTTCGCTGTCTCAAGCAGGTCTTGCTGTTGAAGTTGGATGGCCTCAAACTGCCGGATCATCTGGAGAAGCGACTTTTCCTTAGTGCAGAACGGCTTGTTCTGAAGGGAACACCGCAGTGCCTCAATGTCCAAAACCATGGCCATGGCTGAAGCGCGGGTTCGCGTTATTTCTGTGAGGGGATGTGCTTCTGCGTGCTTTGCGGGGTTATCGAGATACTAACTATAAGTCACGCGTCAGTACAACTTCGAGCATGCTTGCAAGCAATTGCCGGGCACCAAGCAGCACAAGGCAAGTACGTGAAAAGACGAGGTTTGGTTTTGGGGGGCTCGTAGGCGTGTACATGTGAAAAACCGAGAGGTCCTTTCAAGCACTAAAACTGCATGACCCTGATATCGTAACCCCTAAACCCTAAACCATATCTACACCCAAACCCTACCTCAACCCTGAACCATGACACTTCGTGTTCTCAGACCCTAGGCTTCTAGATGTTCCCCAAGTCCCACCAACCTCCGGAACCACAGGTCCCACTAAATCCGAAGCCTCTACCCCTCAAGCACGAAAATACATCAACCCAAAGCAAAAAATATCGTTCAACATGCAGATCTCTTGTAACTTCATTATGGAGCCTTGATAAAAGCGCTAAACCCTGAACTCTGAGGGGCCTCAGGCCTAAACCCTTAAAGGATCCCTTAAACGTCCATTAAAGGATCCCTTCAGGGACCCCTTAAAGGACCCCTTAAAGGATCCCTTAAAGGACTTCTTAAAGGACTCCTTAAATGATCCTTGAAGGATCCCCTGAAAGGACCCCGTGAAGGGACCCCTTAAAGGACCGGAGCATCTGCGCCTTGGAGGCCAGGGCGAGGGCTTCGTTTGAAGCCTTGACGTTGGTGGCCTTCCCTGGATTTTTTAGGGAATCCTTTGAAGGGTCTAGGGCTTACGGGATTAAGGGTTTAGGGTTTAGGGAGGATTCTCTATATAATGGGGTCCCCACTATAGGATGTTAGAAGCCTCCCCTGGGTGTTTTAAGGCATCCTTGAAGGAAGGTTCATTGCGTTCAGGGGTTTAGGGTTAAGGGTTCAGGGTTTGGGGTTTCGGGGATTTGGGGTTTGGGGGTTTTGGGCTTGGGGTTTAGGGGTCGAGGGCTTAGGATTTAGGGCTTAGGGTTCTATGGGATTCTTTGTACAAAAGGTTCTCCACTATAGGATTCTAGAGGCCTTCCCTGGCTTTCTTTTACTGGTCCTTAAGGGTTCCTTTCAATGATCTTTTCGGCTGTAAGACTGTAAGGTCTAGGGTTTTAGGGTTTAGGGGTTTAGGGTCTAGGGTTCAGGGTTTTATGGGCGAAAGGCATGTGTGGTTCAGGATTTGGGACTCTAGTTTTGCAGGTTCTGAGGGACTTGCAGTTTCGAGTTCAGTGCTTCTGGGATTGCTGCTCGGGTGGCAGGCTTGTTGTGCCGGTTTTAGGGTTTTGGGTGGGGGATTTGAGGAGGGCGTAGACCCGAAACCTTGAGTCCTGAACCCGAAGACCTAAACCTTAAACCCTACATTAAAAACCTTGAACCCTGCACAGATGTCAAGCTTATAATGGAACCGGGTCGGAGACTGCGTATGAGGAGGTAGCATAGGAGCTTAGTAATTCGAAGTGGGTTTGGGGGTATATTAATGTATATTCATATAAGGACATTATCAGGGGATGCTTAAAGGATCATGGGACTTAGTAAGTAGGTTATAATTGGGGTTATAGGTCCCCTAAGTGGGGTTATCCTAGTTATAACCTACTTATAACCTTACTTACTAAGTCCCATGAGCCTTTAAGTACTTCTACTAACTATTCGATCCAATATGTTGAGGCTTTTGAGGGGCAACCAGACGAGGGCTTCTGTTGGCCGTTGGGTGATCCTAGGTGCTCCATAGCCACTGATGGCCTACAGCGGTTTAGGGTTTAGGGTTTAAGGTTTAGGGTTTAAGGTTTAGGGTTTAGGTGGGGTTTAGGGTTGAGTTGCTATTCATGTAAGCTCTGGAGTGGCCGGCGCCTGTGCATAATATAGGGTGCCTCAGTAAATTCAAGTGGGTTTTGGTGTGTTTTCTGGGATCACGTCTGTAGAACCCGCATTGCTACGACCCGAAACCTCACATCCTGAAGTCTTCGACGGCCACTTCAAATTTCTCAGACACCAAAGCCCAGCGAGGTCGCGTGGTGCGAACAGCTGCTGCTTCCAGTTCGGGTAGAAATCGTCCAAGTGGGTGATCCTGCACGGCCCGAGTGCTCGAGTTGCAGGCTTCACGACCAGAAGGTGCTTGCATTGATATGGCCAGTATCACGTCCAGCATAAGACAGCTCGATCCAAATCCTGGATCCGTCGTGGAGATCTACTTCAACTTTGATCACAAGGATAAAGGCAGCAGCAGAAATAGCTGTTCCGGAACGTTCTGTTCCATAGGGACACTGCTGCCTACTCTGACATCGGTGCGAAGCCACAACCTGGGCGACGGTGCACGCCTGCAACGCTAAACCGCGCGTAAGCCGTGGTCCCGGTACCCTAAACCCCCTCCAAGCCTGAACGCCGGGCGCTCGCCCTAAACCCTAAAGTCTTCGCTGAGGGCTCGACAACCGCCACCGCGGAGCCCGAAGCGGCCCAAGCTTCGCGAGCCGCAGAAAACACGTACGTGGGAGCCTAGGTAAAGCTAGGCGACTGGCACCATGCATGCCGGCCCCTCGGGCATCTCCCACGGAGTGGTTGGATAAACACTAAACTTGGGAATTTTGCAGGCACTCCCTTTCGACAAGAGTTTGACCCCCCAACCCTTCCAGTCTTGGAGCGGCTCCCAAATGGACAAGGGTTGGACCCCCAACCCGGGTTTGACCCCCCAACCCTTCAAGACTTGGAGCGGCTCCCCAAAAGGACAAGGGTTTGACCCCCCAACCCTTCCAGTCTTGGAGCGGTTCCCAAATGGACAAGGGTTGGACCCCCAACCCGGGTTTGACCCCCCAACCATTCAAGACTTGGAGCGGCTCCCCAAACGGACAAGGGTTTGACCCCCAACCCTTCCAGTCTGAGCGGTTCCCAAAAGGACAAGGGTTTGACCCCCCAACCCTTCCAGTCTTTGGGCGGTTCCCAAAAGGACAAGGGTTTGACCCCCCAACCCTTCAAGACTTGGAGCGGCTCCCAAAAGGACAAGGGTTGGACCCAACCCTCCACGACTTGGCGGGGGTTCCTTTCCAGGATTTTCTGTTGTCAAATTCTGCCTATAAAATGTGCCATTTCATTAGGCTGTCGGCCAATCTCTGGGTTCCTCCTTTTTGGCCAGCTCCCACCAGCCATCCACGACTTGAAAGGGCTCCCAAAAAAAAGGACAAGGGGACCCCCCAACCCTTCCAGTCTTGGAGCGGCTCCCAAAAAGGACTAGGGTTTGACCCCCCAACCCTTCCAAAAGGACAAGGGTTTGACCCCCCAACCCGGGTTTGACCCCCCAAACCTTCCAGTCTTGGAGCGGTTCCCAAAAGGACAAGGGTTTGACCCCCCAACCGGGTTTGACCCCGCAACCCTTCAAAACGGATTGGACCCCCCAACCCTTCACGATTTGGAGCGGCTCCCAAATAGACAAGGGTTTGACCCCCCAACCCTTCACGACTCCCAACAGCCTCACAGAAAGCCCATTGCTTCATCCGGCACCCGCCAGGACAGCTTCACCGAAAGCTCACATGAAAACCTGCCAACATAGCCTCACAGAAAGCCCAATGACAGACTCACAGAAAGCCGACACCCGCCAGCCAGGACAGCCTCACAGAAAGCCCACATGAAAACCCGCCAACATAGCCTCACAGAAAGCCAAATCCAGACAGGGACAGACTCACAGAAAGCCGACACCCGCCAGGACAGCATCACAGAAAGCCCACATGAGAGCCAGCCAACACAGCCTCACAGAAAGCCCACACCAGACACGGACAGACACACAGAAAGCCCAATCCGCACAGGGACAGACTCACAGAAAGCCCACATGCAGCGCTGCTTTCGACCCTGCCTGGGCCCCATTGAAAGTAACGGCCCCCGTCGGTAATGTCCAAGCCTCCGCTGGGATGCCTAGAAGACTTTAGAACTAAAGCCTAAAATGCTTGAACTCAGGGTGGTCTTGGGGTGGGCTGTCTGCTACGCACAAGTGCGAGCGGCCTGGGTGTGCACACACCAGCGAGCACCCATGACGTCACCACATCCTAAACCCTGAACCCTAACCCCATACCAAAAAGACAACCGGCCAACAATTCGGAAAAGCGCACGCAGCATGAACCCCAAAACCCAAGCCCAACAGCTCAAACCCTAAACCGCAAACCCCAAACCCTAAACCCCTAAAACCCTAAGCCCCTAAATCCTAAACCCCAGAAACCCCAAACCCTTGCCCCCAAAGCCTATAGCCCTAAATACTAAAACCCCAAACCCTAAAGCCCAAACCCTAAACCCCTGAACCCTAAACCACTAAACCCTGAGGCCCCACGAACTCATCTCCAAAGCTCAAAGCCCCTTAAACAGCTAGCCCAAGGCCTCCATTCTCGGGCCGAATCCCTACAGCCCCCCTCCCCACTTATATACTATAATATAGAATAAAAGAGTAGAATAGAATATAATGTAATATAGCAAAATCAAAAGTACGATAGAAAAAGATATTGTTTGATATAACGTGATATTAAGCTCAACCGCCCGGCCTGAAGCAATACCTTAACCCAACCCTTCACAAAGCCTCCGAAACCCCAAACATCCAGGGCAGCAAGGTTAAAAACTACACGGAACAGGATAGAGAAGCAAAAAGAGAAATGAAAGCAAGCGAATATGTGAATGTAGGGTTCAGTTTAAGGCTTGGGAAATAGACGCCATTCCCCGTGAACAAACAGTATATCGTTTGGAGATCCCAGAACAGAGAGCATAAACCAATTTCGCAACTCCCGTAAGGCTGCTTCAAGTCCTTTACACCCCTTTACAGAAACCCTAAACCCAGAACCCTTACGGACTCCTTACTTGAAGGGTCGGGGGACTTAGTAAGTAGGTAATGAGTAGACGTTGTAAGTACCCTAAAAGGGATCCTAATTGCGGTTACGGTAATTATAACTCTAGAAAATATCTACTTAGTAAGTCCCCCGACCCTCCAAGTAAAG